GAGCCTTAAGAGCATTGATCTCCTGTTCTTGACGTTGCTTTTCTGCAAATTCAGGATTGATCATCGTCAGCATCTCATCACAGGAAGCTATCACACTCAGATCATAGTCCCTGCTGTTAACCCTATCCAATCTTTTTTGTTTTATCATGGATATCTCATTGTTCATTGCATCACGGGAGCATGAAACAACAAGATTTCCATTTTGTCCAAAGTCGGCAATATCATTACCGGATGGAAGATTCTGAAATGTTGTGTTCTGGCCATTAATATTGGCCACGACATCAACAACCATCTCCATCTGAGGCATCTGTCCCATAGGAGCTGGCATAGGATATTTGGGCTTAGGGGCGGAAACGCTTACCACAGAACCAATTTCAATGAAATGCTTGGCTTCCTTATGGAGAATATACAACTGATTATTTACTCGAAGATTCTGAAACATAGTGATTAATTTTAAATGGAGTCGCCTTTTTTGACGACCCGTGTTTGTTTTTACTTATTTTTCACTGCTTCTGCTACAGTCGGCGTTGCAGTAGTCGATCTATATCCTCCATTCACTAAGTACAACTCATTGGTGTATTTGTTATAATGGATTTCGTAGATTCCGGGACCAGCAATATTGGTAACCGTAACAGGTTCGTTACCGTAAGCCAGTAACGGACGAGTATCACCGTTAGTCCCAATCAAAATAGGAAGAGTTGCTGTTGTTCCAGCCGGGATGGCTTGACGGAGATTGACATAGAACCCGCCTACATAATCCCGGTTACGGAATGCATGGTTCGGAAGTTCTAATGTCACATTCTCCGCTCCAACCGTTACAGCCACCGTAGCAGGGTATTGAAATTCGCTCTTCCAATTGACGGGAATGGGAAAGGGAATCCTGTAAAAAAGCTAGGCCACATAATCACCTCCTTTCTTATCCGGATCAACCCCAGTAGTTATTGCAACCACATCCGTAACCACCGCGTCCATATGCCGCGTCACCTGCATATGCTCCGAAAGCGGCTGCACGATAAGTTTCCGGATTATACACCTGCAATTGTGGATAAGGGACAGATACCGTTGGAGGCATTTTGCACTTAATGCCATCTACATCACTTTGCAATGCCTGTAAGCCGGCTACCAACGGCGCGATCTGTTGACCGAAGTTGCTCAAGATTGTTGCATTCTGATTACGCTGAGAGATTTCCCCTTCCAAAACTGCAATTTTCGCATCTCTTGCTGCGAGAGCTTCCTGCTGACGGCGTGCTTCTGCAGCATCCATCTTGGCTACAATAGCCTGGAATCCTTCACGGTAAGCATCTGTCAAAGAACGTGTATTACCTTCCATTGTACGCGTAAGCGTATTCATGTTTTCGCAGCTCGCTAAGCGACTTTCATATCCCTGACGTTCAATTGCAGTCTGTGTTTTACAACAACAATCGGCTAATTGAGCAAGAACGGACTGATTGCCCTGCATGATTGCAGTGATGATACTGTTGGTGTTCTGCCCCATCTGATTTCCGAGACTGCATATTGCCTGAGATACAGAATTGATACCTGCAAGGATCTGGTCTGAAGATGAGTTCAATGCTTGGGCAAGTGATGCGATGTCCACGCCATTACGGTTAAGCATCTGCATGATCATTTCTCTGCCTTCATTAGCGCCCTGATTGTTGTTTCCTCCGAAACCAAAGTTACCGTTACCAAAGATGGCGGCAATCACAATCAACGCAATAATATCCTGAAAACCACCGTTGTTCCCAAAGAAACCGCCGTTACCTCCTCCTCCGTTCATTAATCCCATGAGGTAACCTGTGTCAATACCTCTGTTCTGCAAAGACGGAAGGATTGATGCAAGCAAGCCGTTACTCGCTCCACCTGCCCGTCTTGATTAAATACATAAGTTTTTTCCATTGTATTTTAAATCTTTGTTACGGTCAATATCAACCGCATCGCAAATGTCGCAAAACAGTAATTGTATTGAATGATAGATTTTTGTAGGGTTGTTGTAAGATTGTTGTTATACATTCATATTTTTTTGTT